GACCATCTTCGTAAAACGAAGGGCCCGAACACTCATTAATTCGGTAAATGTCTTCAGGGATAATCTTATTTTGAAGTTCTCAACAGACACGTAATTCAGAATCTGTCTTTATGGACGACCGTGTAAAAACACTGAAAATTATGATGCATTCAGCAATATTTCGGGGCCGATCTAAAACCTAACGTAATCCAAAACGAACAATAAGTGTAAATTAATTTAGCGGAAGAAACGTTCTTTCTATAAACATAAAATGGTATGCTTATGATCACGCCTGTCAGTTCTATTTAAATTTATTAGACACCGACCGGCCTCATGGCGTGTCACCTTATGAAAACTATTGTTCCTACGACGTTTCCATTGGTGAAATCAAGCAAAATCCACTTTTCTTGTTGACTCTCATCTCATTTAATTGAAAATACACAAGGATAACATAAAACCCTGGAAAACTGTTTTGGAATCTACACTCGGAATGTAGGCAGTTAACAATCCATCGTACATGAAATTACAGCAACAATAAAACGATATTTAGATGTAAACTTCACTAAACACTGTTATAAGATGTTATTTTATGTCTACTTTCATATTTGCTACGTTTTTATTATAAGAATACATTCTATACATTTAAAAACGAAGTTTACTAAATTAGAGCCATTTCTGTCGTTTTCGGGTTATTGCGCTTTTCTAAAAAATAGACATTTCTTAACAACGCAACACTGCCTTTAATATTTCTTTTATGTTTTAAATTCTTTCAAACTTGTACTTAATAAACATAGGCACCGGACTCATGAAATGGTGTCGGTTTGCGGGTGATTCGCACTCATTCGCAAATTTCGACACATTTCATGAGTAAGGTCACTAACTGTAACTGCTGGCGGTAGACGTCTTGCTTGTGGGTTTGTTGTACAGTTCCTGTGCTAACTCATTAAATGTCATGAATTAACACAGGTAAACGACTTTAACGCAGAATCGGTAAACACTACGGCTCCCAAAGTCTGATAGCTGAAAAAAAAGATGTTTCAAATAAATAAAGCAAAGTTTGATTTAGAAAATATTATTTACTGAGATGAAAATAAATAATTTTCGACAAAATGCAACGTTTTCGAAAAACGCCTATATTACAACCAAGTTAATAAAGGCTACGTATGAGGGCGTTTAAAGGAGGAGGGCGCATAACAGGGCAAAAATAATTAAGGACAGAAACAGATACAAAAATCAGTACTTTGTTGATTGTCCATTTGATTTAATAACGGTAAAAAGTCTGTCAGACATAGACATGACGAGGTTATCTATGGTGGATTGTAAAATGTAATTATTCAGTAAGAAATCCAATTTGTCCTGCATTGAAAGAGTCGTTTTAGCTTTGTGCCAATTTCTTTTGACTATTCCAATAAGATTTTCGATAGGATTCAAATCGAGACTGTTGGCTGGGATGAATATGGATCAGAGGCCAATTGCGGAGAGGGTGGTTTTTGCCTAAAATGCTAGATTATATGTTCAAGCGGCATCAAATTCGTATCTCTTTAGAGCGGTGAACAGGTTCATTGTCGTGCAAAATTACAGTATCCATTCGGCGCCGACTTATGCCGTTGTAGCCGAAACCATCCTTGACAATTGCAATGAACACCTTGCTGTTGATGGTGTCGGATGTTGACCGCCAGACAGGCCGCTCACCGAATTTAATCGCCATCCAAACCATCATCCGCCGACAGTTCTTGAATGTTGCCGTCGGTGTATTGCGCTCTCTTGGCAAGTTCTTTCCACATATGACGGTTTGGAGCGATTTCATAGGCTTGTCTAAAAAAACCTCATCGCAGAAGAAAGTGCTCTTCCAAAATGAAGATCTGTAATCAATATACTTCTTGGCAAATAAAAGCCGTTCTCTAACTAGTTTTCTACTCAAATATGGCTTAATCATGGCCTTCCGCCGCTGCAGTATAAATTCTTTCATCCTTTTCCTAATGATGTTCATAGAAAACATCGGCAGATGTTCCGGTTGAATGGTCTCAATGTACATGTAATGACACTTTTTTAATGTATGGCGAAAAAAATCGTCGTCATGCTTACCTGTGGACCGTTTGGGTCCCCCTATCTTATTTTCAGGAACAGTTTTATCATTAATAATGCGCCACAGAGTGACCGTACTAATATTAAATTCACGCGGGATCCCCTCAGCCGCTAATTTTCGAATACGCTGGAAGTCAATTTCGGACAAGTATTGCTTAGACATAAGTATCGTTTGGCGTGATAGAGAAAAGTGACGGCATGTCGCGCGATCTCAATATATATTCGTTTACGATACGCATTTTCGGTCTGGTAAAACAATCACACTGATAAACCTTTTTATTTCGGTATTTTGAAACATGAAACTTTACGGATTTGTAAAATAGAATTTTAAGATGAGTCGCACCTTGTTTTCTGAACACAATAAGATATAATTTATCTGCATTTCCCTGACTTTCTTGATATTAAAATTTATTTTTTTCTTTTTGTACGAAAGTTTATTTAAAAATTTCTTCCTTTTATTAATCTTCATAAACAGATCAATAAGGTAAAACAAAGAATTTCGATCCGACAGGTTTAATAGCGTAGGAAACTGCTTGAATATCAGGAATCCTCTGATTTCGCCTAAATTCGGCCCGTTTTCTATTAGATATACAGATCCGTATCAAACATTTCTTCAGCAAACGGCCTTTTCGTCCTTATTTCAACTAAATAAACACAAAAACACCAAACATACGCTAGAGTTTCCATTATAATTTTGATCTCAACATTTCGTGAGTTAGCACAGGTACTGTACGAGTTAAAACAAACTTTGGGTTTCGTGTGATGGTTAAAAGTAAACCATAAACTGCGAGAAGACCACTGTCGGGAGTTGAGACTCCGGTATCCCTGTAGACAGGCACGCACGCCTTCTGAAAACGTAACATGTCACGATTAGTAGTGCAAATTCTCAGATAGCTAGCAACATCTCTTCGCTTAATCTGTGTAGAATTGGCTATTGTTCGCGAGACGTTTTACTCGATATTCTCAGAATTGCAACATATAGGGACATATAGTTCATTGACTACGCATGTACGAACTTTGAGCTAATATCTGTGCTGTCATTATGATGAACAATTTAATATTTTCCCTAATAGGAGTGATTGATCGGACCCAGGACTTAGAAGGCCTCCTGGTACAAAGCGAATGGATGTGCAGACTTATTCCGTTTCTTTAAGCGCGATTTACAGACGTCAACCGTTCACGGCTTCATTCGCAAGTCCATAGGTAGAGTAGATCTTTTTCAACATATCTGTTAGACAACATTCTTCAATACAGATTCTGACATTATTGCTCACATATCATCCAGGTATTTGAGTAAACGAGTAAACATCTACCCGACAAAAGTACTCTCATGTCCCATGTCAGTGGTTCCAGAGAGTACCTCTTTAATATTAGCTGAAAATGGAATAATAATTCCCAAATTACACCTTGTGCCCGTTGATAAAGTGGGACAATAAAGGCTGGGTTAATTTGTTTGCGGAATAGGGCATTTCGTACGATTGCCTGATTAAGCATGAAACCGTTTAAAACACTTAACGATGGAAAATTAGGTGTATTAATTACTAGACGTACTTTTCAAAATTAAATTGATCGTAAATGTTAGCGGTTATCAGGATGGAATTCCACCCCGTCTGGAA